AAATCTCAAAGGCTTGGGAGATTTGCAGCCCAAGTGATCACATAGCATCCCTGGGTTCAGTCCCATCCCCCACCTACGCCACCCGGTAACAATGACAGGCGGTATCTGTGCGCCAGAAGGAAGAGCTTACAAGGGGTGACTGCATTTGGAAATAGAAGCCCCTGTTAGCAGCCGGAAGCATTGGTGCTGAAAGCAATCACTGGTGTCAAGAACTTTCTTAGCTAAGCACTGCAGCTGGTGGCAATAAATAGCATTCTAATAAAGGGGGATGTTCAACCCATGACATAAGCGAATACTGTTTCAACCACAAAAAGTAATTTATGGAGGCTGCATGTGTCTGAAATGGATTTTCTTCCCCTCCTCCCTCCACATTTACACATAAAAAAATAAATGCTAAGATTTTGACGGCGGGAAAGATCTGCATTTTAAATCAAAACGAAATGGAAAGATCAATGAAAAGTGTACTGCATTTTTAAAGGGTGCAATGATACATAACGTCTTAAGGAGGTTCGTTGTGTCACACAGCACAATTGCCTCCATTCCTAAACAAGACAGATGCCATTTTCGATGCCTGTGAATATACTTTATTGCACAGAGGCTAATAACTCCTCCCCACTTTCTCAGCAAAATGTTGATCATAAATCCCCTTCCCCCCCTGCCCCAACCTACAACCTGTGTACCAACTATCATGTCTTTCTCTTTCCCTGCCCCATAATAACACCCCTAACAAGCAAACGTCACAGAAACCCCACCAGCACCGCCAGGCCTTTATATACAAGTGAGGCAATTACCTGCAACAGAAGCACCCCAGAAGAGACGATGGAGCAAAACTACAGATGACGGCAAAGCCAAGCCCATCTAACCTATTAACTCATTGAAGCCTCCACAGTAAATACATTATTAGTTGTGACAGACTTGAACTTATACCGCTGTTCTTTGTTATGTGTTATATTTATTCCACATGTTTTTTCTCTTTCATAATTGTTGTGAAACACAGCCATTTCACATACTGTATCATATCCCACTGGGATAAACATTGTGAACATGGTACCAGAGGAATTTCCCTTTGATTTAAACTTTTCTCCTACTGCTCCCTTTTGCACAGAAGTGGGGTGGGGAGATGATTTTCCACTCAGTCGATGAAGCCAACCGGCTCTTTCCTTAAATGAGCATGCAGCCCCTGTTGAAGAGCACTGCGCACGGTCACAGAGAAAGGACGATTTTGTTTCCACTGTGAGGTCTGGTTATACAAGCCTGCAAAATGAGGAACATCTTAACAGTTAAGTCATCGCTCCAGACACTGTCCCGCTGTCTTAGAAGGCCAAGCATTGGCACCCACATTTGAAAGACATGAGAGGAAGGTCCCCTCTCTGCTGTATACTTTGAACTGTGTTTTTGAAAATAGAACTTGAAATAAAGAAAGGCTACACTTAGCTAAGATAGCATGGGACCTTAACAGAAACATTCAGTTAGATGCAGTCTGCTTCAGGTGACCCCAGTCTTACAGTGTAAGAACTGGACGCTGACGTCTTCAAACAATTTAGTCTCTGTCCTCCCAGTTGTATTTTGTTTGTCAAACCTGATGCAAGGGAGGTCTGCAAACATGACTCAGTTCCTTCCAACATGTGGCTGTGTACCTGGGCACTTTCTTCTGTAGTTCTGCTGGCAAGGTGGGGACAAGATGGCTTTAGGGAAAGTCTTGTGTGGAATGCATGAGGCAGGGTGAGTCAATTTTTTTTGCATATACCCAAAGGCCTTTACAATGGACGACACAGAATAAAAGGAAAACTTTCACCTAAAATAATACAGAATAACCTGTAGCAGTTTACAACATAAAAGAAATTTACAACATTAAAATTTAAGGTTGTAGTGCATTCACATAGCTGGAACTGCTTGGCTGCCAGTGCAAATTTGGCTACCTGGTGGGTGATGAATAGATGTTTATCTGCTAGGAGTTCAACTGTCACTTCCTGTGCAAATCGACCCGGAAGTCAATTAAGAATTGGTGATATAAATTTTCCTCTGGGCATTGTATACAGGAGGCAAATCAGTAGATAGTGTGTAATGTACTCTACCTGATTGCACCCATATATACATTTGTGATCCATATGGAGAATTCCCCGATATCTCCCCTCTAAATATGCTGAGGGCATCTGTTTGAATCTTAGTTCTACAAAGTTGTGGGAAGGTCAGAGTCTCAAGGTAACGGGACCTTGAGTAATTGGTCTTAATTTGGGGGTACCAAGTAGAGTTAAGGGGCGGAAATGATGGATGCTCTGTCTTGGTTGGTATCCTGATCAAAAATCCAATTTCTAAGGTCACGTGGGCTAAGTAGTTATCCATCTGAAGATTATAAGCCCATAGCTTATCTTGGCACTTTTGTGCCCAGCCCCCTGTCCTTAGTTGCTCTAACCAGCAGAGCTTAGTAAGAGTATGATCCTGGAAGGCATTTAGCTTGCATCAGTATCCCAGATAGGCTTGATCAGTTCTGGCTGCTAGCAAGGGGAGGCCCAACTCAATTCTGTGGTGGGCTGCCAGTGTCCTGCAGGGAAGCCCCAAAATCTGCCTCATAAATTTATTTTGTAGAACTCCTATTTCAGATTTAATACCAGTTCCCCCTGTGTCAGCCCCATAGAGCAGGGATGTCAAACCAGTCGACCGTGATCGACCGGTCAATCCCCGTATGATTGTGGTCGATCGCGGGATCATTATCATTTGCATTGTTTAGAATCATATCTCCCCCCTCCTCCCTTGGTCTTTCCCTGCAACGCGTTTAGTGTGCGTTCCTCTGTTGTCTGTTGTAGTGCTGCATTTGTGTGTTAGCACTTGCGTTGCTGGTGAGTGATTTATTTTAATTCTGCATACTTACTGTTTAATAAAAGGTGAATAACTTTGGTCTGGCCTCCTAAAAAAAGCTCAACCACTCTGAACTCCCTCCCCATGGGTAGATCACTCCCCCCCTCGGGAGTAGATCGCAGTCCCTTGGGAGTTGGACGTCCCTGCCATAGAGCACTTGGAACATGAAAGACAATGATCCTAATAGCTGGGTTGGTTAACTGCACACCCTTTGAATGGAAGACCCTATGAGGCAGGGACTGTCCTAAAGTTTTGTAATAACTGGTATTTAGGGCAAGGTATTGAGAGATTTCAGGTGAGAGGTGGGAAACACAGACCTTGATACAAGCTCTTTCAGCTTTTCTACAGAGTTATTGGAGGAGGCAGGCAGCACCCCATCTTCTGGACCTTTGTTTGTGGGGGGAAGATTACAGCTGAGAAGGATTTTTATGTGTTTCATGTTTAGTGCTTATGCTTTTGCCTCCCTGGGGATGTCTCTGTTTCTCTGGTGGACTTATTGCAAGTTAGCCATGATGGCTATGCTCCAATGCCATGGTCAGAGGCAAGCAATGCTTCTGTGTACCAGTTTCTGGTAACCACTGGGTGGGGTGGAAAGAGAGTAGTGTTGCACTCAGATCCTGCCTGAGAGTTTTCAAGGGCATCTGTGGCCACTGTGAGAACAGGATGCTGGAGTAGATGGAGCACTGGTCTGATCTAACATTCTTATCTTCTTACATTCTTATCTAGAGGTGTGTGGGCAGAGATTCACAGCATGATGGCAATGGTCCATGTAGGACAGTGATGTCCAAACTTTTTTCAAAGAGGGCCAGATTTGATGAAGTGAAGGGCCGTGAGGGCCGACCAAAGTTGTTGATCTTTTTTTAGGATTGAAGAAGTTGTTGAGGGTTTTTTTAGGATTTTACCCAAGGAAATAAACTGCCACAGAGGTTAAACTGATTGGTGGGCCGGATTAGGCCCCTGAAACAGGCTTTGCACATGACTGATGTAGGATGTAGTCCCACATTGTAAGGCCAGGGAAAAGTTGATGATCCACAAACACCCACACCCATCCGTCTTGAGATAGCTCATTCAGTAGAGCACGGGACTCTTAATCTCAAGATTGTGTTTGAGCCCCACGTTGGGCAAAAGAGTCATGCATTGCAGGGGGTTAGACTAGTGCTCCCTTCCAACTCTACAAGTCTATGATTAACTGTTGGTCCCTGTAACCTATGTAACGTGTCTGCCTTCTTTCTGGATCATATGATCACATGGGCCTCCTCCAGTCACGCAGAGAGTTCCTACCATGAAATTTCTCTGTGCATCTGTTAAGGCTGCAGTGATGGCGGCTTCTGAAATTATGGCTGCATGAAAGATAGACATCCGTGTGAAGGCTGTTCCCAACATCATCCACATGCGGAGTGTAGTTGCATGGACAAGTCACTTCTGAGCTGAGATTCATTGCAGCCTTCACTGGAATGAAGAACACTTTAAGGGCAGGGCATTAGGGATGGTTGCTCTTAATGACTGCATTAGAGATTAAAGGGCAAATAATGGGTGGGAATAATTAGAGGAAAGTATGAGCAGCTACACAAAATGTGGTTCTGAACATTTTCTGTAGTCTGTTGCAACAATCTTCAGCCCTGGAAGATGTTTAAATAAGAGGATGGGGCCCAGCTGTAAAATCTGGATCCAGATCTGAACTTTCTCAAAGTTCAAGGTTGTTGTGATCAGGGTTTCTCCCTCCTCCCTTTTCTTTTCTTTATTATTTGTTCTCATCTCTAATATAAACTCCAAACTTTTAAGGTAACTCTAATCAGATGTTCGCAGGATCCAATGGAAGACTAATGCAGTAAAAGATGAAATAAAATATGTCTGGCATTGGGAACAGATTTTAATGGGAATTCTCAGAGAGATGTGGCCACAATTCACCAGGCATTGCTGCTCCTCTGTCTCCATTTCCGCAGGGCTTGTGCAGAAACAGCAAACAAGTCCCTCTGAAAGAAATGACCCTGAAGGAGCAGCGATAGATGGATTGGATCCGATTCCACAATACATGAAAATTGCAATCAACAATCAGACCTCTTTCCCCATTTCCTAACATAGGCACCCTTTTTGTTGTTAATTGTTAGGCTATTCTTAGAGACTGCTAGTTTACAAAAGTGGTTTTCAAGCTTTTGCCCATCGGTGGGGCATGAGACTCTTAATCTCAGGATTGTGGGTTCAAGCCCCATGTTGGGTGAAATATTCATGCATTGCAGAGGTTTGGACTAGATGACCCCCGTGGCCCCTTCCAGCTCTACAGTTCTATGGTTCTATGGTTCTTTCTATATAAACTCATTTGCCAAGGCATTTGGGGGCATGTTCTATGGCGGCTTTCCCCAAACTGGTGCCCTTGAGGTGCTTTGGACAACAATTTGCATAATCTCTGGCCATTGACCCTGCTGCCTGAGACAGATGGGAGTTGTTGTCCCAAATCTCTGTAGGGCACCATTTGGGGAAGGTTGTGGGGGAAGGCACATAGTCAGTCAAGGCAGGGCACTGACCAGATTTGTTGGGCCTCACTATACATTGCAGAGGAAACTCAGAAGTGACTAGCAAGCAATTTTCACTTGTGTAGAACCACAAATGTTAATTTAGTTCATGCCTTCTAAATGGTAGGGAGAGCATAATCAATCTAGCTGAAATTCACCCACATGGATTTTCAATGGGCTAATTTGGCTTCATAAAACTTCTCAAATTTATTTATTCTTAGCTTGATTCATGTGAAATCTTTCAGATTAAAATTTGAAAATCTATGTTTTCTTCCACAAGATCACATATAATTATCTCATTTGTGGAGTGATCATGTCTCTAGTGATCAAGTCCCTTCACTGTCTCAAATTTTATCGAAAAGCTTCAACTTGCAGTTCCACAGATTAAAACTTTAATAGAGAAACGAAAGTCATATTGATGGATGAGACAGAAAACACACACAGAGAGTCAATTGGTATAATGAGTGAAACTCCTATTTTCATTTCACATGCAGCCGCTGATATATTATGCTGTGTCATACTTTGCAAAAGGAGATATTGTTCTGCATCTGCATAGAGGATTAGAAATGTAATATGTAGAACGGGAACCTATGCCTCTTGCTGGGCTTGGTTTCTGCTTCACATATTGTAGCCATAAATGATTCTACGCAGCATTGGCAGCTTGTGCAATGGGCTCAGTGACCATCAGCATCTACCAGCAGGTTCTCCAGCAAAGCTGGCTAGGCAGGCAGGTATCCTGCTGCATGGCTAGCAGAATCCAGTGTTGTCCAATAACAGCAGTGGACTAGAGCCAATGCTGGGTGCTGCTGGCCATTTAGTAGTCAGATTGATACATGCATTGCACTCCCTCCAGTCGGCCATGCCTGCAAGGCCACCAAGTGATACCTCCCAATAAGGGCTTACTGCAGTTGATGTTTTAGTTGTGGCAACTGGAACACCAGAAGCTGCCTTATACGGAGTCAGGCCATTGGCTCATCCAGCCCAGCACTGTCTACAGTGACTGCAAGTGGTCCCCAGGGCTTCAGAAGGGAGACCTTCCCAGGCCTGCCTGGAGATGCTGAGTTTTGAAACAGGGACTTTCCGCATGCAAAGCAGAAGCTCAACCACTGAGCTGTGGTCCTCCCTCTGCTTACTAACTTGCATGAACGTTCACCGCCATGCAGACATGGACAGACAGGAGACAAGAGACTGCGTGAACTGACTCACTGCCGCCACCACGTTCTTCAGAGATGGCTCCACCACCAGTCAAAATGCTGAAACCTCGTCACATACCCGTCCCAGTGTTCAGATGACATTTTCGTTCTGTTCTAATTTAACAGCCTATGATGAACTGAGGAGGTGGGTGGGTGGGTGGATAGACTTTGGCTTCCCACCCAAGCAAATCCGGAAATGCATATTATATTGGGAGAGCAGTTCATTTAGCCCTAATTTTAGCATGGACACGTAAGTGACATTTCCTTACATGGCATCTTTCGCTGATGTGCTCCTCCTAGCTTGAAGTCAGGGCCCTCAAGGTTTCCGAAGTGAAAAGCGTGCATGGCAGCATCTTGAGGATCTGACAGATTTCAAATGCCTTGCCTGATTTTACATTGGAGATGAGCTTCAAGTAAAGAATGCTAAAAAGATGTTTAAGCTAAGAGGTTAGCCTCATACCATCTGGAGAAGTGCCGTCGCTGACGGAAGTAACTCTGAGGTTTCCAAAGGACCACTAAAGCTCGCAGGCTGAATGCTTTCTGTGCAAAATGTTAGGCAACTCGCAGCAACAATCTCAATGCCTATCCACTCACGGATGGCCCTTTAAATGCAGCCAAGGAAGCAGAGCCCTGTACACAACAGCAAGTCTTCTTTACACTATCTCGTTGCTTGCCGAGATTTATTGCATTTTGATAAACGATCGTTTATGTTGTTTTGACAATTGGAGAATTTATGAATCAGAGCTATTTGCCTAAAGTGATGAACTGAATTGTAAAAGAACCATTAGCAATGATGACACCATTTGAAATTTGTTTAAGAATCAAGTTACAGTTTTGCTTTCTTTTCAATAAGGAGCAAAAAGACAGCCAAGGAGCATTCATTTCAGTGTAACAAGCTTCTGACAGGCCTCATCAAGAGAGCTTGCACAGCCAAAGTTATAGGCTGGGTTTCCTACCCCCTGTTTCAGACGTACATAACTTTCCCGACTGAGACCAAGCAACCCCCCAACTCATATTTTCCAGTTTCATGTGCCATTTCCTGCTGGACACTGAAATGAGACAGGATAGAATCTTTATCTGGATATAATGGTTTTCTGACACCTTACTAGGACTGCTTAGAAAATGTCTACATACTATTCACATGATCCCAGTGGATACACTTGGATCAGAAAGTTTACTGTTTTCCAAATTTTACCCAACCCAATGGTGTTTAGCTTCATTATTTGTCTCCATTTGTCCATTGTGTATATCACTGTCCCACATGCTATAATAGTGAGATGCAGGCTAAAAGCACAAAGCCAACCAGAATGGTCAACCACTTCAGATTCTCCTTCTGGGCACGACTTACCAACCAATTTAAAAGTTGCAAAGAGACAATGGATTGTGTCCAATGTTGCAGTTTTGCTTGCACAACAGACTTCCGGTACAAACATTGTAAATAGTTTCAAAACACAACCACAAAGCAAGCCAAGTGCAAAATCCATAAAGACCCCCACAAGAATCCACAGTAACGGTATTCAAGTCAAAATGGAGTTTAAATGAAAAGACCCAGAAAGGCCCCGGTATAATGACAAGCAATAGTCAGAATGCCAATTTTTGTTTTCTACCCTTTAGAACTACTCTCTGCATGCTTCTTGTACCTTGCTAGACTGAACGAATAAAAAAATCCCACACTATATGATAGGTTTCAAAATCAAAAAGCACAAACAGGATGCACCTTGGGATTTTGAGTGTTCAAACCAGTGGGGGCTTTGACCCACAGGCTGAATGTGGACTTCCAGGCTTCTTTGCCCTGCCCTCAGGATTCTTCCCAGGTGACACCCTTCATTGGCCTCCATCTAAATGCCTCTCAGATGCTTTTGCCCAGCTGGATTGCTGGAGGAAGCATTATGTTCATTGGGTCCCAACAGAGGTTCTACTGGTAAAAAACAATAATCTGTGTTGTTTATCTCTCTATGGGGAGTAGAGTTAAGAGAGGGAAACTGAAAGAAAGTGAGAACAAGCAAGATGTGACTAATTAGGAATAAAAGCTAGTCTGGTCTGGAAAATGAGAATGTAGTCATCTGCTAAAGAGGTGGCCTTCACTTTGGCCAGCCCCATGAATCTCCAGGAGCTTTCACCCCTTGAAGACTATCCTCTCAGCACTGAACTAAGAATGAATTGTGTTATGAATTTGGGCAGGGCAACATAGACTGTATGCCTGAGTCCCTTCTAATTCCTGGATTCAGCAAGGGTTAAAATCAATGAAGGAGCCCCTTGTTTAATATGGCCAGGCAAGGGCCATAATGGTCCCCTAAGTATGGGTCATTAGGGGAACAAAGGAAGTGACTCTGCGCCAGAAAACAAATAGTTAGATTGAAGGACAATAGAGTTGTGTGTGAGAGATGAAAGTTAGAAGCAGGCAGAAGCCAAAAAGGGAGAGCCATGCTTGATTTCTGCTTGAATCTAAGGCTATGATGATGGGAGAAGCAGAATCTGCGAGTTAATGCTGTGAGGGAGCCCCTCCATCCTAGGCTCAGGTTGTAAAGGTAAAGGGACCCCTGACCATTAGGTCCAGTCGTGACCGACTCTGGGGTTGTGGCGCTCATCTTGCTTTATTGACTGAGGGAGCCAGCCTACAGCTTCCGGGTCATGTGGCCAGCATGACTAAGCCACTTCTGGCGAATCAGAGCAGCACATGGAAACGCTGTTTACCTTCCCACCGGAGCAGTACCTATTTATCTACTTGCACTTGGATGTGCTTTCGAACTGCTAGGTTGGCAGGAGCAGGGATCAAGCAATGGGAGCTCACCCCGTCGCAGGGATTCGAACCGCTGACCTTCTGATCGGCAAGTCCTAGGCTCTGTGGTTTAACCCACAGCGCCACCCGCGTCCCACAGGCTCAGGTTGTATATATGTGCAAATAAATCCTATATCATAAAGACACCACAGTCTCTGCTGTCCCTTATTCCCAGGAAACGGAGCCCTGGGTTAGCATCTTGAACCCCTGGAATCTTGCACGGCTTGGAGACTGGGATGGTGTGCAACAATATTATTACGAGACAATTCATTTTTCTGCTTCCCCTCCCTCGTTCTTTATTTGTCCCTCAGGTCAGTGGAATATTGGTTAGAAAGACAGAACCTTTAGTCTTGTCTCAAAAAGTTTATAAAAGTGGTGATGGCACGAGGAGTGAGAATCTGGTTGTTTACTGCTGGTAACTTGGCATCAGTTGTTTGGGAATCACTTGGCACTTTTCATGATGTGATATTTACGTTTTGGGTTTCTCTCTCAACCCCCCTGCCCCCATCAAGAGATCTTTGAAAACATGAACCAAATAATGTCACAATATGCTGTAGATCATCCATTCAAACAAATCAGCTCTGGTACAAATCAGTTATACTCCTAAATGCTCACACACACACACACACACACACTGGCACAGAGACATAATTTAATCAGCTCCAAGATTCCTTATATATTATGACAAACCTGTGCACCTCCAGGGTGCTCATCTGCCACAGAGCAAATTTTATATGTCACTCAGATGTGTTCCAACTTGCCATTATTTTTGTGGTGTCTGTAGCATGGTATTTATGGCAATTCGAGAACAATCTAAAGAAACATATTAAGAGCTTTGTGCAGGGGGGCGGGCGGGGAAAATAAAGCTACATATGTAGAGCTGATCTGCAGTTCATATGAATCAGTGTTAGTCACCACAATAAATCAAACCATTTTGATTTACGCTAGTGGAGAGGACCTTGCTCCACAGCCATGTTGGGAATGAATTTAACCCTTGGGTTGTTTGCGGAGAGCATTGCTTGCATTTTCTAATTGTTTTGTCTGCAGTGCACAGATTTTGAATAAAAAACACAACAAAGTATTAAAAAATCCAAACAATGAAAACATTCATTTTTATTTTATTCTTTTTTTCTTAAAAAACAAACAAACTTCATAATGCCCTGGCAAGTTGGCTGTGGTTAGCTACTGTGAAAGCTTCACAAGCTGCCCCTCAATCTGGACCCCTGGAGAGGATTCCAAGTGAGGGGGAAGAGGAAACAGGAGAACAATGGAGAGACAATGAAAATTTGGTGGTGGTGGGGTGGTGGTGTGTGTGGGGGGAGAGAAATCATGGCAGGCTTCCAGCAGGCTTTCACACAGAAAGTATTTTTGGCCCACTACGAACGGATCAAGATCACGTCTTAAACTGAGGTATTGAAATTAAGTTAACAGTTTGGGTACAGATGTAACATATTTAGGGAATTAGCTGAGCTGCGTAGATACATCTGACGTCCAGACATGCGTGAACAGACATCCCACCAGATTCTCAATGTTAGGGCTGCCAGACTTTAATAGCAGCTTGATATGCTGGAATTAGCAGGTGAAGGTATCTATGACATGGCCATAGCTACAGTGGCCAACTGAACAGCTGGCAACCTTGTTCAGGGTTGCTGCTTCATGGCTGCAGGGCTATGAATGTGGTTAACTTCTCCCTTTTCAGCATAGGCCTCAAGCAGTATGACTTTTCCAGAGACGTTTCTGGGTTCCTGAGCAAGTGCTCCAGTGCCCATGCAACCAATTCAGATGTCATGGTCCCATTTTGATTGAGAAGCTTGGAAATGTGCCCAGTGCTTATTCACTCTCTCCTCTCCCTTTCCTAAGCATAGTTTGCTGTGAGTGGGAATACTATACTGTGTGCTAACCAGGTATTATGTCCAAACCATTATTTGAAACTGCAGCTTGAAGAGAATTGCAAACCATAGTCCTGCCCTAAGCATCGTTTGCTTGACAATGGTTAGAAGCAGAACCAGAAAAAAGAAAATGGGGAACAATAGCAAAAGAGGAGGAGAAGGAAGAACATGACCCACAACATATTACCAACCCCTCAAACCATGGTTTAGAAGATTGGAGCATTGTGTTTATATTGGCTAGTCACTTACCGGTAAACAGCACGAAAGAAGAGTGGATAAAGAGAGAGAGAGGGAGGGAGAGAGAGAGAGAGAGAGAGAGAGAGAGATGACAAAGGGGGGGGGCACAGATTTGCATATGCTAAAGTATATATGCATATGTACATTAAGAAAATACTATAATTTAAATCAGCAAAGGCAAACCCTGGCCCTTCAGATTTTGCTGAACTACAATTCCCAACGTCCCTAATGTTCATGCCGGCTGGGGTTTGCTGTATAAATAGACAATCCCTGGAGATCAATAAAAGTGAGTCTGGGGACAGATTATAGTCACCCGTTCCCAGCCACTCAAGGGAGATGAAAGTGGTAACTGGGGTTTGCAGGGCTTTAAAAATGTTTTAAAACCTTATAAATAGTGTTTGGCCAGGAGTGGCGTAGGGCAAAAGAAATAATGTCTGTTGTGGGAAAGTTTCTTGCCTGTTTCTGAGCTAATTCATCTCCATAACACCCATTCGAAAATGAAAAATCAGATATTAATATTAGATTAGTTTTCAACCACCAATGAAGAAAGATTCACCTTGGTTTATCAACTTGATTTTTCATAGGGTGATTGTTTAGGCGTAAATTCTAGAAGTTGTTCCAAAAGTCTCAGATTTGCTGGCTCAAAACAGTGGGAAGATCGGAATCCAGAGATCGCTCGAAAAGTAGATTTCAAGAAATGTTGCTTTTATACTCAGCAAGGCACTTTGCAGTCTTCTTTCTCTTCTTCACACAGGCACAGAAGGAGAGAAAGAAAGAAACCAAAGATGGCAGGGGAAGAGATAAGCCTTCTTGACATTGCATGGATTTCATCGCTGGCTCATGTACTCATGCAGGCAGTGAATCATACTGATAATTACAATAAGATCATGTTGAAAATAAATTCCCTCCGTTTTTAAGGAAGTGCAGATTTTGGAATTAGCTTACTGACTTCTAATGTTGTGCTACAAATAATTTCCCTAAATCAAATTTTAATTCCCTTTCTGCCATACCAGTTCTGTGTTGATTTAATTTTTTGCAGTCAGCTTAGCTATTTCCTTTGCTGTTTGTGCTAATAACTCTTTTTAATCATATTTGTTTGTGACTCCAGAGCCTAACGACACGATATACACTGGGGAAGAGCAAAGATCTTCTCTTTCTCTCTGTGTCATTCTCCCACCCCCGATACTTCATGCCCCCTCCCTTCAACAACGAAGTCTTTCCACAATGAATCTTGCAATCGTGTCTATTTTTGAAAAGAGGGAGAGCTCTGCCAGTCAACATCACCATGGCTGGAGACTGCCTGTGGGGTCCCCAAGGAGGACAGACGGAAAGGCCCACCATCACCAGAGACCTCAGTAGCAGCTGCCCTTTCCTCAATCAAGGGGAAAGCAGCAGGGGCGAGTCCTCCTCAATCAAGCAGGGTAAGACCTTCCCGGGTCATTACACAGGTGTCCTATTCCCTGCAGAGAAGAACAAGGGTTCTTTAAGCTATTGGATAGTCGATCGAGGTGTCATCTTTTAAAGAGAAAGTAACTTCGCTCTTTCTTCAGTGTCTGCCTGCCATGCTTGGTTGCCTGTCCTTCTTCCCCTGCCCCTTTGGCAAGCCTTACTTACATATGTTCCCTTGTAATGGATGCGCATGCATAATTTTCCCTATCCCTTCTCGGTATTTTGATAATTTCACGCAACCATTTCCATTCAGTTCCTTCCTCACCTGCCCAGCGTGGCTGACCCAAAGGTGTGTGTGTGCTCTTCAAAAAGATCAAAACTTTTTTTTAAAAGGAGTACCTTAAAAGAAGCAAAAACAATCTAGGTTAGGCAGGATGAATCTGGGACGGAAGAGGTCAAAAGGTGGGTCAAATAGATGATGGTGATGACGATGACGGTGATGACGACTGGCATTTTTATGCTGCTTTTCTGCCGATAAAAGCCTCTCAAAGCAGATTACTGATATCAGTGGGAAGACAATCACTAGCCTCAGGTTCACAATCTAAGAGACATGAAACAAAGGGGGAAAATAATATCAGGGAGAAAAACAAACTCAGACACTTAGTGAACAGAAGCAAAGGCATATTTTCCAGAGGATCAAAAAATTGTTGCTTTTTCAGCAGAGCTGCTGGAGAGACCCTTCAGCCTCCTCTCTCCTCTCACAGGCTGCTGTAGATGACAACTTAGGAAGGAGCCTAATGCAATTTGTCTCTTAAGCAGATCTGATGCAGTGCCATCATTGCCTGTCCTGATGTTTTCTGATGAGTGTTCCTTCTTCTCATCCCAACCACTAAACTCCAGATCCCGAACCTGAAGAGACTCCAGCTATCTAAGCAGAAGGGGGCCAGGCTGTGGATCAGACTCTCCTAGAATTACTTAAGTTGATTTTATGTGGCTGCTGCTTTAGTGGGATCAGAGATGAGGACCTGAATGGACAGGGAGTAGACAGGGCTGTTTCCTGGGCGCTGAGATTCGACTTCTGTTCCCCTCCCCCCAAACCTTTGATGGTTGTAAAATCCTAGCCCTCAGAATCCCCAGTTTTTCCAGAAACAGTTCTGGGTAAGTTGCTAAGATACTATCTTGCGTTTAAGCCAAGCTAGTACTGTTTACGAGCTCATTCAGAATGTGATAGTTTGAATCTCAGCAAGATACGCATTGTTCTATCTCTCTCTCTCTCTCTCTCTCTCTCTCTCTCTCCAGCCTCCCATCTAAACTTTCCTTATTCTTCCTCCCACCTCTTCTGACCACAATGTCCACTGCCCTAGTTGATTTGTTCCAGAATTAAAGCAACGAATACGAGATTCTAATATGGGATCACTAGAAAACCAAGCCAAATGTTGACATTAAAACACTTGTGATCTCTTGAAGCATGTCACGAGGTTCATTATTACGGGTCTTTATAGCATTTAATAAATATTTATCTCTTCTGAAACTGTTACAGACACCTTTTAAATTTTTCATTTATGAAGATCTAATGAACACTTAATGTTTTTTAATAAATGGCTAATCAATTGTTATATTATTAGAGAGTCCAAAAGATCAGGGGACTGCTTATAACTATATTTTATAACCATATATTGATGAGCTTATAACCATAACACAGTTCTGTAACATGCCTATATGCACCTATTAATCACAATGCCGCAAGGGACCATCTTCCCTGCCCAGGCTGTATTTATATACAGCCCCACGCCACAGGTATGAGTTGGCTAAGCGGGAGGAACAACGTGGCTCAGAAGCTAAGTCAGCACCTTTCATCTCTTTCAGAAGTCTTCAAGACAAGCAACCCAATTATGTAAAGTAATAGAAAGATTAGACCCTAAGGGTGCAGTCCAGAGAAATTTAGGCCCACTCAAATCCCGCTAATTCCAACAGGACTTAAGTGTGCCTAATGTTCACTTGATTGTGCTGTAAGACTGCAATCTAAAACCGATTAAGACGCAGTGCATGGACTCCAGCTCATTTAGCACCATTGATTCCATGTGACCATTGACTTCAGTGGGATTAAATTAGTCTAAATCCAAATGTTCCAGTTTTCCTGGTTTGCGGATAGAGTTGCCAAGCTGAAATTCTGCAGCCAATGATTCTAGGAGAGTCCCACAGCAGGGACAGCTTCAAAGTCACAGAATAAAGATTTAAGATACTAATGATAATTGAAATGTTATGCTCATCTGAATGGCTGCTTCTCAAGTTGTTCTTTCATTGCCTTGAGTCTAACATAGCAAAGGAAGCATTTTCATGGGATTCCACCCCAGAAGGCATTTTTGGGGATTCCACAATGCAATGAGAATTCCGCCATGATTTCTGCCTGCTGTATACGTGGATGAGGAACCAGCAGAGGTCATTCCTATCTAGAAGAAACCTCTGGAGCATCTGATTGACAGCCCCAGTTCTTATTCCCAATTGTAGCTGGCCTTCCTCTGGCCAGCATAGCTCTTGTAATGTGCTCAGATACATATCGTTGTGCACAAACCTTAGGGCAATCTGACATGTAGGACCCCATCGTATCAAAGTGATTTCCAGTGCTGTTTCTCGTCATTGATAACATCTGCTAAAATGTCACAAAGACTCTGTGGGTAACCCTGTGAAGAGTTGACATTAAAAATTCCCTAAGATTGAATCATTTGTTTTCTAAAGCCACTAGAGGCAACTCCCAATTTACGCAGGGGTTACGTTGCAAGGTACCGCGCATTTAAGTGAAATTGCGTATATTTGAAACACCATTGAAAAAACCTGCAAATACCCAATTCTGCCCCCCACCCTGCCCCGTTCTGCCCCTTTTTGTGACATTTTTGTGATGTTTGGGAGTCACTTCCAGGTTTGACGTGATGCGTGCATGGTCGAACACATACTGGATGTGCCTGAAACTGTACATAGTTTGTTCCAAGAGACATATAACTTTGGAAAAAACATTTACCTTGAGATATTGCACAGAGTTGGATGGGAGGCTAGCCTTGAATCCCCAAAGTGTCTTTTTTAAATCGCCCCACCAAAAACAATGGGGATACTGCAGAATAAACAACTAAGGATCTTAACGTCAATAGAATTAGTTTTAGAAGTTAAAGACCAGCTTGCTTGTAGAATTCTTGCCTCCTGCCCTCTGCTGGTGTTTTCAGACAATTCACACAAACAACTCCATGCTTACTCCTAAACAACTTCTTAGACGCAGAACACCTGCTCTGAGACAAATCCCCAGGCTGCTGCTCTTTTCTGCCTATATATATATATATATATATATGCATAAACACAATTAACAAGGGCTGGAAAGGCAGATGGGAGATTGGCTTTGTTATAATGATCAGGGAGGGGTGCTTCCATTTTATTTCTTTGATCTTCCCCCACTCTTCAAGCGTCACTTCTCCACAGGCTAGGTATACAGCCTTGTCATATGTCTTTGCAGCGTCTCATAGGAATAGGGCTGTTATGATTTCCACCCTTAACACTATTAGTATGGAATATTAAATATTCCATACAATTGCAGTCTACAAGTCGGCAAGGAACGAAACATAAGAAACAAATCATGTGCCAGCCTTCTAGAAGAGAGAGGGTTACAAAATGATGCCACGAAAACCATCAGGTCATTAGAAACCATGCACAGTTTCCAATGTGAGCTTTAACAGACTTAAAATAGAACCAAGAAAGCATTTTCTTTGGTTGATTAGCCAAACTAATCACTCACAGTTCTAATCTTATTGAAGTTTGTGTGATTTGCATTTTTTGCTTAATGATTTTGGTATATAACCCAGGATTTATGTTAATGGCAGGGACCTGCACCACGCAAATCATTATCGCCATTAGAATTTATCTTACGGCATGAACTTGCAGTACTTATCCTGTCACACTTTCATTTTATTAGAAAAGTTTGCAGAGTTAGAAGTCATTTAAAGTCATTTAATTGTTAAATGTTAATTAAAAATGCAATGGGTAATAGATTTTGACTGAGCACAGACGCAGTTCTATTGCTGCCATCAAGCATGTGAACTAAAAATACGATATGATTGGCCAAAGTGTATTCATTTTCCGGGAGAGTAGTAACCAGGCCACAGGCCACTTTCCCCTCAACATTACTCCCTCCTCCCTCTCCATCAGCACAAGGGGCAAAAAGCAAAACTATTTTTCTAGAAGCGGAAGTGCTTAAGCTGCGTTATAATAGGAATAACCTCAGCCAAGGATATTTCTTTGTGAATTAATGACCGACTGGAGTTAATGGTCATTGGCTTCACCTTAGGCCCTCAATTAAACCCTGAACCTCGGTTGGTATCACTTAATTGACTTAGTTTCATTTCATTTCAGCATTTCTAAACAGCCTACCTGGAATCACCCTGACAGAGTTGCGTGGCCTTTGTAGATGTGGTCTGACATACCCTCCGTCCTCCTGCCTGGACACTTCGTTTTGTTTTGACATGGTTGCACAATGCCCTGTCCATGCATCGGCGCAGATAACAGCCGATGACCGAGGCTAAATCTAGCCCAAGAAATGGGAGTGTAGCAAAGGATGCAATGTAGTCGAAATGAAAGACTTAAGCCCCATTGCTTTGAATGAGAAAAGGCTTCAGTGCAATTACATGGGAGTAAGAGCCAACAAAGGCCCATATAGTTAAAGCTATGGTTTTCCCAGTACAGTGGTGCCTCGCAAGACGAAATTAATTTGTTCCGTGAGTTTTTTCGTCTTGCGGTTTTTTTCGTCTTGCGAAGCACGGTGTCGGAAAAGTTTTGGGAAAGCTTCAAAAATCACCAAAGTCTTCAAAAACCTCAAAAAAGGCTACCACACCGCGTGCTATGAGTTGCTCCTCGAAGTCAAGTCACAACTGTATTAACGGTTTTAAGAAAAAGGAAACAAACTTGCAAGACGTTTCCGTCTTGCGAAGCAAGCCCATAGGGAAAATCGTCTTGCGAAGCAACTCAAAAAACCAAAAACCCTTTCGTTTTGCGAGTTTTCCGTCTTGCGAGACATTCGTCTTGTGAGGTATCACTGTAGTGATGTATGGAAGTAAGAGCTATAAAGAAGGCTGATCGCCAAAGAATTGATGCTTTTGAATTATGGTGCTGGAGGAGACTCTTGAGAGTCCCATGGACTGCAAGAAGATCAAACGCATCCATTCTTAAGGAAATTAGCCCTGAGTGCTCACTGGAAGGACAGATCGTGAAGCTGAGGCTCCAATACTTTGGCCACCTCATGAGAAGAGAAGACTCCCTGGAAAAGACGGATGTTGGGAAAGATGGAGGGCACAAGGAGAAGGGGACGACAGAGGATGAGATGGTTGGACAGTGTTCTCGAAGCTACCAACATGAGTTTGACCAAACTGTGGGAGGCAGTGGAAGACAGGAGTGCCTGGTGTGCTCTGGTCCATGGGGTCACGGAGAGTCGGACACGACTAAACGACTAAACAACAACAAGAGCCATTAAATCTCATGTGTCCTATTTCTGAGTAGACATGCATCAGATGCACATTTCTCTATAATGGAGACTCGAGGGTGAGTGGTTGCCAGATCTGAGAATCAAAATTCTTATCTGCTGCAAACAGGATTGCATCCCCTCTGAAAGAAAGAAAAAAAGTGGTTTGGGGGTGCTCCTGGAATGATACTACTGCCATTAGAGGTTCAGATTACCTCAGTGGCGAGGAGCACCCATGGCCTGCTTTGCTAGGCCAACAGTAATTGCTAGGCCAACAGTAGCCTTTCTTGAACAGGGACAGCTTGGCCACTGTGTTCCATGCACTGGTAACCTCATGGCATTCTGTGTGAGACAATCCTTGGTCATGATTTGGGAGCTGTAGCTAGTGCAGAATTTGGTGGCTAGGGAGGGTACAGACTGGGGGATCTGGCCACACCTATTACACTGGTCTTCAATAAACTGCACTGTCTACCTATCAGTAATGGAGTCATGTTCAAGGTCTTGTTATTAACATATAAAGCAGGAAATCTCAGACCCAGAGGTACAATGCAGCCCTCCAAGCCTTCCTTTCCCTTCCCTTCCCTCTTCCCTTCCCTTCTTTTTTGCCTTCCCTTCATTTCATAGTTTTTATTCATTTTCATCTTTAAACTGTTTGACGTGGTTGCACTGAGTTATCTTGGTTTAGATTGGAGCATACGACACGCAACAATTACATCAAATGAAAAATAAAACAATAAGCACTCCAATAAATGTTTCTGACTATATTAACAAAGTTGTGTCAACTTATATATACCAAAATTATTATTACAGATATGAAATGATGTATAGCAACGTCTATTGCTTAGATTGGTGACCCTAAAGCAGGGGTCAGCAAACTTTTTCAGCAGGGGGCTGGTCCACTGTCCCTCATACCTTGTGGGGGGCTGGACTATATTGGGGGGGGGGATGAACTAATTCCTATGCCCCACAAATCACCCAGAGATGCATTTTAAATAAAAGCACACATTCTACTCATGTAAAAACATGCTGATTCCCGGACCGTCCGTGGGCCTGATTTAGAAGGCGATTGGGCCGGATCCGGCCCCCGGGCCTTAGTTTGCCTACCCATGCCCTAAAGCAAAAGGCATTTTGTATCAATAACAATGAGAATTTAAATTACAATTTAAATTTAAACTACCGTATGTACTTCATGTCCCTCCAAGCCTTTCTAGCTGGCCCATGGGACTCTCCCAGGTCAAACCCCTTACTAGTCTTGCTTCAAACCCTCGTTTAGTACTTTTGGCGGGCTGGAAAGTTTTCTTGAACTTGGAATGCCTCTTGCTGACTTGGATGGAGGATATAGAGGGGTGTGTTCACATGTGTAGAAACTGACCTATTGTACAAATTCACATTAACTCCACTCACTTTTGCTTCTGGCTCCTCCTGCCACTTGCATGTGTTCCCAGAACATTGTCCAGAAGAAAATGTGGCCGTTGGGCTGATAAAGGTTCCCCACACTGGATAATAAAATAGGTGTTACCATGGAGAAGGACCACTTCTGTGTTGCTGCTAGTTGGCAGACTGCAAGTTGAGGCCCAGTCAACCAAGTCTCATCCAACGATCCTGATGACTGTGTGGGTCAGTGTTGGGAAAGGTGTTCTTTGGAACCTTCTCCTTTTGCCATCTGGGAAGCTCTAGCTCCCCATTTGTGGAGCCCCCAGGGAGGTTCAGCTGACACCTTCACCTTTAGGCGCCAAGCAAAAACTTTCCATTTCAACCAGGTCTTTAGCTGACTGACATCCAATGCCCATTTAAATGTGTTGTGAGAGGGCGGGTTATTAGTCTGCTTCTGTTCTTATTTTTATTATGTATTTTGTGTTTTTCATATTGTAATTATGTTGTGAACTGCCCTGAGATCTACAGATGAAGGGTATTTAATTAATTTAATTAATAAAGTAAGTAATTATTAATATTATTATTATCTGTAGCATGTTTCAGAGACTGAAAAACAGTATTTTTTGATGATTGATCTCTGGATAGAACTGCTTGTTATTTGTATAATTTTATAGCCTGCGTGTATATATATTTAAACTCCAGCTTTTAAATTTGCAATTGTAAATACGAGTATTTATTAAATAATTATATTTGTTGACTACTTATATAATTTGTATATATGCATTGAGCCTACAGTATGTTCTAGAGTCCTTGTCTCCTTGCTGATTTAGAATCCTTGACCCCTAATTGCAAACCACTTTGAGATATTTCTTATATAGTAAGCTGCCCCTCAGTTGACTAAGTAAATAAAACACATTAATTTTCTGATACCGTCATCAAGAGGGTTAAGTACATGTTAACTCTCTCAAATGGCTATCAATGGTGTGTAACAAGTTTAACTTTGGCTCGGTTGCAACCCAAAGGCTGGCCTAAACATTAGAACTACCCTATCTCATGTTATAAAGCAGGATATGGGATTACAGTTTGTGATAAAACATGCAAAACTCAAACACTTCCAGGAAATGGATATTACTGCTTATTACAACAGCTCAAGGCTTCAGCCACCAGAGAAAGGAGCTAACTTTCCAAATATCTTTCAGGTCCAGTCTATAAATTTCTAGTTTTCAATAAAAATTAATTGATCTCTAGCCCTTTTATTTAAGGTGGATGCAGGAACATCCCCATCCCCGTGGGCCAGATCCTTATCTCCTCCCATCCTGTAGGCCAACTTTGACATGGGTAAGGCTATCCACCTGCCAATCATTGGGTGTCATCATGCCACCCAGTGATTGATGGGTGGGTGGTCCCACCCACCTGTGAAACTTGATCCCACCCACCTGGGAAAGTGCTGGTGAAGCAGCACCAAACACCATGTCCTTGCCTTTGCCCTGTTCCAGTTCAGTGAAGGGGCAGCGCTTGAAGCTCCATAGACAGCTCTGAGTGAGCAACGTGCCCAAACAAAGGCTAAAGGGCAAAGGCCTTTTCAACCTCTGCCTCCAGTCCACCTCTCCTAGCTTCCTCCACTCATTTGTGAGAACTGCAATCCTTAAAGGACCAAGCCTCTAGTCTGTTGATGGGCAGGTCAATGCTACCTGGGCTCTTGTCTTGTGCACTCCTTGCACTGCTGGAATCACAATGTAGGCTGGGAGGCACACCTGAGGCTCAGAGGAAGGTGCTTGAGAGACCTGAGTGCGGTGGGATCTGGTCCAAGGTGCCTCTGATGTAGTGGCCCTCTGGTCACTAAGCTCAGAATATGGCTCCTTAGCTGGTGACTCCACAGCTTCTGGAATCTTGATCACTGCTTGATTCTGGAGTCATGACAGCCTCTGCCAATTCCAGCCACTGAGAACTGAATGTGTGTGTATTTTTGCATAGTGTTGCCCCAATCTGCATTGCTTTGCTATGATAGAGTTTTGATAGAGAAACGGTTGCTTACAGTTGTTTTATTAAATATCAAGCAGCTGCATTCGCTGTATTCTTTTCCGCAACTGCAGAAAAACATTCTTGTTTAAACAAGCCTACCCAGGTGCTTAGAAAGCTGATGTGACTTTCAACCCGAATTAATACTTTAACTTTTTGGATGTTTTAAACAGTTGCACTTTCTTCTTGATAATTTTCTTGTTTTATCTTTTTGTAAACAGCTTTGAGTTTTTTTTCTATAACTAAGCAGTGTATAATTTTAATGAAATAAATTAAACACAATAAACTAATGCCTATTATATTTTTATTATGTTGCAATTAACATTATTTTCCCTCCCATTTTTCCATCAACTTAATAGCATCGTTTGAATGAATGTAAAGCATGATTTAGCTTTGCAAAATGCTTGCACACTCCACAGTCTCAATCTTTTCTCCTTCAGTACAGCCAAACAGAGAGGAGAGGGGAGATAGGAGCATGTGAGCCCAAGCTTCACACAGTCTTGTTCCTATAAGAGTAAACATGGTTCAGCACTTCCAGTGTGATGCCTTAAGACAGGAGTCTTAATGAGTGTCTTTAAAAGCATCAGCTGGTATACGTTCCCCATAGGCCTCAAATAAATCTGCCCATATCATGTCTTTCCAAATGTAGGGCACACATTTCAGTATTGTCAGGATTGCACCAAAAATTATTGGACCAAACTGAAACAGTTAAGGCTTCAAAATGAGTCTCCACCCCCTGTAATATGGAAAAGTTTAGAGGAGACTTTTGAATCTCTTTGATCAAGCTTTGAAATAATTTTACTGGATTACCATTGTACTAAAAGCATAATTTATAGTAGCTGACCTAAGCTGCTCTTTGTATAAAAGCCATATATTAAACAATGGCAGGAAAGCAAAAAATGCAACAGGAACTGAATCTGCTCTGTTTATTATTTAGCTCATAATTGCATCTTCCTTATTTAATCTTTTGAATTCTGGCATGGTCTTAATAATAAGGGTTCAAATAATGTTTACTATACACAGGAGGGAAAGCCTTGAGTAATACACCCTGTGCCTTCAAACTTTGTGTAGCATGTGACCTTTCCTTAACCCAAGAAGGCCTGTTTTATAAAGATCGTACTAGATAGCTCCACTATAAAGCGTAATTTGCTGCCAAGCACCACTCCTAGCCATCTTAGTTAACATTTCTGCATACCATTTTTAAAAAAATCTTTTCCCACAGCAGTTCCAAAAAGCCAAGGTTGGCACAAGCCTATCCACTGACTACTTCTGAGCAAGTTAACCAGAATGAGAATTTACAGTGTAGATGATTGCATTTACAGCAGGTATCTTCAACCCACTTTTAACCCAAACATGTGTTTGGGATGCATTTTGAATTATTATTTTTTAACCATATATTTGCATGGAGGTAGTGCTCCTGTTGTGACCCACTTTGAATCAGGCTGTGACCCACTAGTGGCTGCCGACATACCGGCGGAAGGCCAGTGATTTGCAGGATAGCTCTCTGCCCTTAGCAATATGAATCAAGCTCACACATTCTGGAGCCTAATTTCAAAACACAAGAATACAGACAAGGGCCTACAGCTCTCCTAAGGATGTTGCTCTATCCAGTACAACGGGTGCTGGTGACACATTTTTTGTCAGGGTGATGGAAGGGCATCACGGGAGATAAACTAGAAACCTGCTGCCAAAGATTTGGCTGATTAGTTCAAATTGTTATGTGAAATTTAGCTGCTACATGTTTCCAACAGATGCATTGTCTCTAGTTAGGGTTGCCAGATCAGATGACTGCAGTAGGTTTATTGCCACCACTGAGAGAATCCTCCTGTCACAGTATATAGTCTCAAGTTCACAACCCTTTTCTTCCCTGGACTCTTTGGCCCATAATTCTCAGCGGTGCTTTTTTTCTAAAAAAATGTTTAAGGGTACTCTCATTTTGACTCAAGAAAATCACCATTTTATAGTTCAAATCAGGAAAAATAAATACAGTGGTACCTCTGGTTACGAACTTAATTCATTCCGGAGGTCCGTTCTTAAACCATTCTTAACTTGAGGTACCACTTTAGCTAATGGGGCCTCCCTCTGCCGCCACGCTGCTGGCGTGCGATTTCTGTTCTCATCCTGAGGTAAAGTTCTTAACCCAAGGTACTACTTCCAGGTTAGCGGAGTCTGTAACCCAAAGTGTTTGTAACCTGAGGTGTTTGTAACCCGAGGTACCACTCTACAGTAAATAGACAAAAGTACAAAGATTCACAAAATGTTTAGGAGAATGCGGACCCCGGCATCCCCCCAGAAAAAAAGGCACTGGCTATAGCTAGATTCTCACTGGATTCTCCTTTTCTTGAGTTCCATGTTTCTACCAGCCTGTGTTTTCCCAGTTCCTCACTTTCCTCTGCATAGCCTACTTTGCCCCACTTTCTCAAGCCATCTTTATTCTTGGCCAGCCTCCCTAGTGGTCATGTCTCCTCTAGCTTCATCTTTCCCCTTAAGCATTCTCTGATCTAGGCTGAACCATGGGCCTCTGTTGAACAGATGTGTAGGAGATTTGGCTATTGCATCATAAAGACTCTTGTATTTGTGGTAGAATTTGTCCCAGGAAGACAAGTGTTGAAAGCTAATGCACAAAGAATACTATGGGAAAGTGAATAAACAACACTGGCTTAATATGATTCAGAGTGAATCCCCCCCCCCCCCCGCAAACCAGTGTTTTCACGTGTGTTGAGAGCTTGCAAATGTAGCCTCTCAGAAAGGCTACCACATTCACCTCTATGGTGCAGACTATAATATCTGCACATTGTCCAGTGTGTCCATTTAGGTCAAGGGGTAGGTCAATCTTCTGGAGCTCATATGGATTCCTGCATCAATCAATATGTGTCCAAAATAAAGAACATCCTGGAGCTCTTCCTTCACACTCTCTATCTTCTAGCATCCGTTGCACATTTATTTTTGGCATTCATTCATTGACATAAGTAAAAGAACGAATAGATTTTTATCCTTCCCTTTGGCTTCCAGAATAGCACTAGGGCAACTCCCAGCTTCATTTCGCTAACAGTCAGCACAGATGGAGGAGGGCTGGTCTTGCAATTTTGATTATCTTCTCGGAAGCCCAAAAGCTGACACTGATTCAAGATTTTCATTCTTGCTGTTTATTTATTAAAATCCTTTATAGACCACATTTAAATGAAAAATTACCTAGGTGGTGTAAAACACAACACCATCAACTGAAGCACACTAAACGCCCTGGAAGATGTGTGTGCATAAATATAGCTTTATATTCTGCAAACTTCTGGATGAGCAGAAAAAGAGACAGGGCCACAAAATGATGCATACACATTTCCCATCATCGACCTCATCAATGGGAAAAAATACAACTACAGCCAAACATCGAATCCCAAATGCCTACATTTTGGGCTCCCAAACCCCGAAAACCCAGAAGTAATGCTCTGGTTTTTGAACGCTTTTCAGAAGCCGAACATCCGGCGCAGCTTCCGCTTGAGTGCAGGAAGCTCTTGCAAACAATTGGAGGCCGCACCTTGGTTGTTGAACATTCCGGAAGCCAAAAGGGTTTCCGGAATGGATTCCATTCGACAACCAAGGTTTGACTGTACATCAGCCACTGCCATGCTCATTCCTACACAGAAGGAATCTGACCCTCTCCTCTGTTCAGAATTATTGTGGGTGTCCAATTCTGGCATCCAATGAAATGTGGGCATTTTTGAGGGTGTGTGTTCACTGCAGGAGAGGCTGAGCGTGTGCAAATAGTAACACAACAGGAGGCGCAAATAAACTCTCATGCATTGTGGATTCCTAAGGGAATGTCTACTGAGAACTTTTGCAGCCGCCATTGGAGGCACTGGTGGGCACACTGCCACTTGTGGGTGCAACACTGGTGACCCCTGTGTAATTAGGGTGTTTGGTTTTGACTGGGAGCCCTGCATTCAAATTGTGGAGAATCCCTACTCGGACACAAGGCTTGCTCAGTGAGTCACAGGTTTCCCCCCACTCTTACCAGTTTGTTGAGAGAAAACTTCATTATGCCACTGAGGATTTTGAAAGAGTCTTAATCCGAACCGAAGAAGTCACTCGTCATCACTATATCTCCCCCCACCCCCATATCTACTTAATTTTAACTCCACTTCCCTCTCCATTTTAGGAAGATCTCCCACCCCCAAGAATAACAGAAAGGTAATTAGCTGAGCCTCTGGCAACTGAGAATGAGCCCATGTGTGTCCATGTCTCATTATTGATGAACCAAAGATTTTCCTTTTATCTCCATATTGAACTCATTGCACACAAATGCAGCAGTTTCTATGGCTTGGGGAAAGGCCTTTTTACAGTGTTTGTAAGAGCAGATGCTTGGTAAGTCTATATATGCCAGTGAGAACATCATTCAGTTTTATGCCCACTTCTGTTTTCTTGCTTGGCATAATTCATTAGCACATTCTGCAGAATACTCTCTCCATAAAACTGGATTTGGCTGTAATGTTAAGGTTCTAATGACTATAGCATTGTAAAAAAACACAATAGGTTTTTTTAGTTTTTTTTTTAAAAAACCCACTTATAATTGATGTGTATATTTGATAAGGAAAAAATACACATATGTTATTATTTTGCAATAGAGCACCATTTTTAATTTATCAGTTTTTAAAATAATTTTGCTGATGGTAAGGCTGTGGAAAGAGAATTAGCACAGTTCGACAGCAAGTCTTTATGACTTGCTTCATGCTATTTTTAAAATGATTATATGGGCTCATTTATAAATAAAGTCAAAAACTTTGATTGAAGACACCAATATAGTCTGCCAACCTGTTATGTCACAACGTTATGGAGGGGTATAAATACTAAGATACAAG